ATTGTTACTCAACACATCCCCCCAAGATGTCTGAAAGGAATTCCCCAGATTCCTGTGAGACAATGACCAACACAAAACAGGGGGGGGGTTCTCTCCGTCTCATACCTTGCTGCATATGTCGATTCGAGTCCCGACGGGTGACTCGACTCCACTTACTGTGAGTGACTGCAAGTGACTGGACTCTACTCGAGTCCTTCATCAGAAGATCCGACTAAAGCAAAAGCTAATAAGACTCGAGTGCCCACAATAAAACCACATTTCTCCTTCTTCTCAAAAAAAAAAAAAATGCCGTAACTAAAGGTGCCGGTGGGTAATTTTCCCGTCGTGCTGCATATTACAATCTCCTACTGGTGCATGGCGGCCCTTCCTTCACGGTACAACAATCATAAACCGCGTCGGGTACCCCTAACTTTTGGTTCTGTAGCATGTAAAGGTAACCCGGAACTGGGCTTAACATACATTTCCCAATTCGTGGTTTCACCATTGTTCGTTCGATTATTATGAAAGCTCGTTATGGCAGGCCAGTTAAATTTATGCCCTAGCTAATGTTCAAACATAAATGGACTCATGCCTACATTTAAATAATTATAAAGAGATTTGTACAACGCATTTTAGTTTTGACGTTGTAAGCAATCAGAGGACAAAAATCTACACCTGAAGCTAAACAGATATAAGATCCCTGTTTCACTTTTGGTGATCTGTAAAGGCAGCTCGACGTGGTGCACTAAAACACGTCTGGACAAGTGTACGGAGCCAGTCTTGTTTTTGTTTATTGTATTACGGTCAAATATTTGTAACTCGATTTGACTGGAGCTTAATTTTTGCCAAGACTCGACTTGACTTCACGTTAAAATGACTTAACTCTGGTTAAAGGGTTGTGCGATGAATTATTTCAGGACACACTTTTTCCAACTTTCTAATCCCCTTTAAAGTATGAAACTAATGAATGACCGAGTTTTTTTTACTCTGACTGACGTCACAGTTTTGCTCATGGATGTGGGAACCTGCATTGGCAACAAATAAAACTAATAAATATAATTGGTATTACCCTAAAAAATACATAAGCTAATATCTCAGTACGTTTTTGTCAGTTAAACGTTGACAGTGGTAGGCTTATTTGCTGCGCTGAAATTTCCAAGGCGATACAGACGCGAAACTTTGTCGTGCTTTTCATTTTTACAGTTCTTATGCCGAGAAGCATTTCAGCACGCTGCCATCCGTTATGAGGAAGCTTATAAAAATCTCCATCTCGCAAACAGTCATGTTGTTAATTCCAAATGCATATGTTTGAAGACAAAATAAACATTGTATTATCATACAGGGACGCATTGTGGCTGTTAAGATGCTCGCCAACAAGAATCATGTCGACCTGAAGAAAAATCTTCTCATCGAATTGAAACAGGTCTAAAATTTTGTTCAACAGTCAGTTTTGTCTTTAATGTTTTATTTGAGGTTATATTCATGTTTTATTTGTGTTACCTCTAGGTAGACAGATTAGGAATAAAAAAGAGCGTGCTATGATGTCGTGTATCCTATGGACATCGATCTCAATATCACAAGGATAAAAGTTCGACTTACCCGGCCAAAAAGTGAATTAAATAATAGCAGGGTACCCTTCGACTCTTTGACCTTTCCGGTTTCGCGTTGCATTATATTTACATGGGGAATGCAGAAATGATCTGCATTGTTCTAATGCTGTACCAATTGTTTCTCTTGTGTACGAAATGTCTTCGGCATTTTTCTTTTCATTCACTAGATGCATGATTTGGATCATCCCAATGTGGCTCGTTTCATCGGTCTCTGTGTGGATGTTCCCAACATGGCTATTATCAACGAGTACTGCTCCAAGGGGAGCCTCATGGTGTGTTCAAGGCATAGTAACTACGTTGGATAAGGACATACATTATGTACTCACGAATCAAGATTTTTTTCCACATAATCCTGAAAGCTCTCAACCTCGAACGAGTCACGTCTATTAGACCTCGTGTACAAAAAAAATTCTTTCTACTTAAGATATTAAATTAAACATACTGTAAAGGTGCATGTGGAGTTACAGATGCCGTTTAACAAATAGATTTAGAATTACTTTCTTCACTTAGCTCGTGTGGAGCTCAGTTCCGTTTGAAAATGATAGGCTTGCTACTAGTATGTCACTTTCGTACGAAATCAAGAAATACAACTCACTTTGTCTCTAAATTATAATTATTATGTTGAGTGCTATTTCTTAAAGATAAATGCATAACCATTGTTTGTAAACGTTTACCCGACTGCAGGACATTCTCCAGAATGATTCAATTAAACTCGACTGGCCATTCAAATATTCCCTCATTAATGACGTCATTAAGGTAAAACGATCTACACTTTGTTTTATATTTTATGTCCTATATAAGAAAGTTAACCCATTACCTTAATTAACAGAGATAATTCTATTGAAACGGTATAATGTGCGTAACTGAACGTGAAACCTTATGTCATAATATGTCACTGAGAAAATAATTATTTCTGCATTGCAGGGAGTGAAATACCTTCACAGAAGCAACTTGGCAGTGCACGGCCGGTTGAACTCCTCTAACTGCCTTATCGATGGCCGTTTTGTGTTGAAACTGGTTGATTTTGGATTATATACTCTCCGAGAGGACGCAGCAAAATTGCGCGGCAACCATGCACTGATGACAAGTGAGTGGAAAAATGGAGCTGTTTGTATGAACAAAAAGAACGGTTGAAAATTGGTTAGATGTGAGGTTGAACATGAGAAGACTTACTCTTGAGGATACGTGGCGTTTGTCCATCTGTCCTCGAGGAGTGTGAAAACATACAGGCTGGTTCATATCTCCTCCGAATGCGAAAGCAAAGCGAATTTGACGTCACGAAAGATTGTACTCAACTTTTGCGAATTCGTAGCACGAATATTTGATCTAACGGTACAGATTCGCGGTCGTGTTTGCTTTCGGGTGAAGTATATGAACCTGCCTTGAGACTCCTATAATCAACGTTGTTTCATTATCGTGTCAATACATAAAAAGATAAAGAATGCAATTTGACTTCGTACATTTGACCTCCCTCTTGGCAGCGTTCCATCGTAAAGATCGCTTCATACTTCAGGCAAAACAAAGTGTATTTGACCTCACGAAAAACGTGCAGCGAAATTTCAGCTCCGTTGAAAGGTATTCAACTTATATGAATTCGCAACGCCAATATTTGATCTGACTTTACAATTTCTCTTTCGTGTTTGCTTTTGTGCCAAGAATGCGAACCTTGCCTTAACAAATAGTCTTGGGCCAAGACGACTGAACTCAATAACGGACTCGATCAAGCATTATGCCGCGCGCGCCGATTTCTATTGCGCCTTCTCGTGACTTCATATCACCAACCGACGAGCCGTCGCGACGGCTCGTTCTACCGTCTTGGGAATCTCCAACAAACCGTTTAACTTTTTGTTTACTTTTCCTTCGGATTTCTGAAGGAACCAATCAGCGCCTGGGAAATTCCAGTTGAATCCTTATGTGATGAATATAGATCAATGACCTGTATCACGTGACCTACTTCGCGATATAATGTACATTACACAAGCACTATTACTACTACGCGACGCTGAACGTACAACTATTAAAAGTACCAGTACTGTCACCGTTAAAAATGGCCGCGGTCGATGCATTGAAACAAGGAGCGAAGAAGTAAGCCTGCAAAAGGCTTCCAACAACAAAACTAAAGAAATAACAAGCTGACTCTATTGATGCGAACCCGCTCCAACGCTATCACGTTCTGTATTTTATCCTATTGCGCATCGATATCCTAGGGTCAATTGTGAGTTTTCATATTAAACTACTATTTTGCACACAAAGGCCACGCCTCGGTTGTAGGAGATTTCCAAGACGGTAGAACAAGCCATCGATTGGTGAAATTAAGTCACCAGAGGGCGCAATAGAAATCGGCGCGCGCAGCATATGCTCGATCGAGTCTGCTTGCGAGTTCTGCTGTCTTGGCCCAAGACTACTTGTCAAAATGCACTCGAGATCTGTGTCAGGCCTGTGGTACATGCGTGCACCTTTTGACACAAATGAGTGCCAATTTCAATTATGCATATTGTATTACTGTTATCTTTAGATACGTTGCAGTTCTTGGTTACTGGTATGCCAGAAAACGTTACCAAAATCCTGATCAACCTATCCTTTGTGGAGGGCTCACACGGCTACATGACAAGAAGTTTCTTTTCCAACCAGTTCATTCCTAAAAAAAAAACTTTAATACTAGGACATCGCTATCGATTGCTTGAATAAATCCTTAAAGGTCGGTAAGGTAGGCTGAAGCAAGACTGGTATAAACTCACAGGATAGCTTTTGTAAATTTTTTGTTAGCGCAATTACCATAGTCTTTGCGAATCAAGATGTTTCTACCTGTGCTATTCGTCTGAGCGTCGCTTGTGTTCTTTGCATCAGTCGTTAGTCTCAGATTCAGAAACAGTTTCAGCTGACTAAAGACATGGTTTCCATACGAAAGTAAAGAGACGAAGAAAACATCGCCGATCAGTTTGCGACGATACACATAGATATGAAAACACTTTGACCGATGCCATAATTGATGCAGACAGTCGGGAAAGTTGGATCAGGTTTAACTTTGCAAACTGTCTGCGCCAGAGGAGGCCTTTCCAAACACACAGTACCACTCATTTTGTCCGTTTTCTCCTGATTTCTCACAAATGAAGCTCCGATTGTCCACAAAACAGCTGACTGTAAACAAAAGACATCACACTAGTGTATCAGTTTGGCCTAAAGATGCAGTATTGCAACCTAAAAAGGCATTTCGAGTGAAAATTTTCCGAGTTTCGGACGCCATTTTGTTGGTGAAATGACGTCACGCAGCGGCTCCTTTTTTCTGCGACTGCGTCTTGAGATCTTGAGTGCCGTCGGCGTTCACTACCACTAGCTTAACGCATGTATCCTTTCAAACCCATTTAAGTTAACTGGTGTTACTTACAGACTTACTATTGCATATCCTGTTTCGTGGCCGTGCCTTGTTTCCCTTTTCGACACGCAGAGTCGCTCTGGGTGGCCCCAGAAATACTGAGAGATCCCTTGCGAGGCCCAACAAAAGAGGGCGACATTTACAGTGTGGGTGTCATTATGAGTGAAGTGGTTACAAGAGAGGGACCCTACAACACTGATTTGGTGTATATGGATATCACTGATAAGCATCTATGAGTTTTAATTCGTAAGGATTTTGAATTTTGTTTTCAAAGTGGTTTCTAGGCTCAAGCGAGTTACTCTCTCATGACGGGTCGTCTCACCGGGCCACGGCGAGATGAGAAATTACAACAAGAACTCGCCGAGCCGAGCTTGACCTTTCGAAATTATTTCTGTTGGTTTTTGACATTCCTTTTGTATCTGTAAAATATGCTTCATTTCAACATTCTTATACGCACATTACTTCCGGGGATTTGGGTAATAAAAGGAAGCTTTATTTTTCTTCGTTTGTGATTGCAAGGGCATCAAAACCGTAACTTGTCTTGAACATACTTCTAAGAACCACACATTAAAGCTGTCATGCACTGCATCATGTATGTACTTGAATTTTTGATTCTCAAAATATCCGCAAGTGGACAAGTATTATTGGCAGAAGACCAACTCTTTGGACATCCATGGGCAGATTTATGCAAATAAAACGTTTGCCATAAACGTGCTGATGAAACAAATCACATTTATTCCAACGATATCTGCACACATACCGCTGTTGTATACATTGGCAAAATGAGCCGTTGCTGTGTAAGTTTATGTATATATATATATTATCAAGCACCTCTGCCGGTTTATTATCCTGCGCTGACTGAAATACGGGCTTCGTTCGGTTCACTAATTAGTCTTGGCTCCAAGACTTTCCTGTGCTTAATTCCACAGTCGCGAACTATCACTCTACAATCTCTATACGCATCTGTGTCATAAACTAAACGCTATCCGCCTTGAAAAGCAACCCCTCATCATTTGAGATGAGCCACATTTGTCGAGAGTGTACGTTTTGTTGATAGCGACACGCACGCAACACATGCATCTCATAGTCGTTCGTGAACCAACTACCAACCAAAGCAGCGCCCCGCTGCTAGAAAATCTCACCCTCTTTGAGTCCAGTTCAGGGCCCATATCAAAAGAAGATCTTAGATAGGCTTCCGATTTCTAAGGCGGCAGCAGACTATGATAACGGGGGCAAGAATATGCATTTTCATACCACTTGCAAAATGACCGGTGGAAATTATGCAACTAGCCTGCAACATGCGTAACATCCCAACACGCGTGCTGTTTTCAAACTGAAACATTATAGCCTTGCGTAGTTTCCTCGGATGCTTAGGGCTTAGCATGAACAAAAAGTTCTGTGTCAAGATGTATTTTGCGTCGAGATATGTTAATAAATTATTTTAATCACGGGTTTTTTCCCTTACCCGACGTTTACATTAATAAACATTGTATACTCAGTGCTTGTCCAAGAGCTTGTGAAAAAATTCACACGCTTACTCGGGTGGGACTCGAACCCACGACTTCCTGCTTACTAGTGCAGACGTCTTAACCACTCGACCACTGACCTTGGAGGGGTTGGCTGGCCGGTCTGAGTCAGATGTAGCAGCGGCTACCACAAACTTTGCATCGGGGAGATGTTAAGACGTCTGCACTAGTAAGCAGGAGGTCGTGGGTTTGAGTCCCATTCGAGTAAGCGTGTGAATTTTTTCACAAGCTTTCGGATTAGCACAGTGTATACAGTGTTTATAAATGTATATATCGGGTAAGGGCAAAACCCGTAATTAAAATTAACACTGTTTTTAATAAAACGTTTAATAAAAGTTTTGACAAGAGTGTGAATAGTCCGTTATCTTATGGGATTACAGGAAATGAAATGATAAAAACCTTTAAACTGGTGGAATAAAGATGGGAGTTACTTCGTGAAGTAATATCAATGGCCCCTCGGGCCTGTGAGTGAAAAAAAGTGTCCTATTTCCCCTTAGTCTTCAGCCTTGGGAAATCGGATCCTCTTCTCAGGGGCGGCCGAATCGGGGGCGGGGGGCGCACGCCCCCCTATCACCCTAAAAAAACAAATAAAAAGAGAAGAAAAAGAGCTAAGGAGGGAATTATTCACATAAATGTGACAAAGGCATGGAAAGCTACAGTTCTGCTTCCCTAATTTTACAGCCGCGTCTACGCCCCCCTGGGAAATCCTGCATCCGACCCTGCTTCTGCATGGTTACTCACAGTCCCTCGGGGCGCATGTAGATTTGCTCTAGTGACCTCATCGCCAGTCCATTCTTGTACAATAATACGCTGTTTTCTTCTTAGCTTGGTCAAGGCGTTCGTCATTCGTCGTGTCGCAGCGCACCAGCCGCTCGCTCGACCTAGTACCGGTACGTGGCCTACCTGCGTACGTCTGCACGTACCTGCATACATTGCAAAATCAAGGCGAAGAGCGACCTCACGCAGGCCCAAGAAATATGCAAATCAGCTGAACCAGGACGAGCGCCTTGGTGCAACAGTCCGCGGATGCTTGTTTTTCTTCACTTTTGATAGATTTTTAGCGCACGACCTCGTATGCGAATA